AGAGGGGGTGCGCCGGGGGGAGGGCACTGCCGCGGGGGGGAGGTCCCCGGCGGTAGCTGGAGGTCGAGGCCTTCGCCTTTACCTCAGGCCGAGGCGGGGCTGTGGTGGAACGGGCGGGTTTCGGGCCCATCGCGGGGTCATGGATGCGGGAAGGGGCCTCTGGTTTGGAGTGCAGCCCGCTCGGAAGCGGGGCCGAGGTGCTGAGGGTTTTGTCCCTTCTGAACTCGGAAATCTCCAAGGATGAGGACTGCACAGCTCCTCTGTGCTGCTGCCGGGCTGCCCTCATCGTGAAAAAATACTCTTTGGAACAGCAGCGTTCATGTGTGCGAGGTAGAGACCAAACAGCGAGGGGGTGCTGCTCTCTCCTTGCACGGTACTATAGTCAGGAGGCCTTAAAACTCCCTCTTCTTAATCTAGAAATGTTACAGGCAGAAATATCCTCGTAGTTTCTTTGATGGGATGTCAGATTCGTGACGTTGTTCCACTGATTTCCAGCGTGATTTCAATCAAGTTACAAATTGTTTTAGCCTTCCCCTATTTGAAACTGTAACTTGCTCCTCTTTGCCTACTTCCCTTTAGCTTTTCAATTCTCAGAGCTTTTCTTTTACTTAATGGGTAAGCTCCTGAAATTAATTGTTCTTTGTAGAGCAATTTCCCTTTTCTCAACAATATTTCCAGCTTGCCGAGTATCTATGACATTTAATGAAGATTAAGTTAATCCAGTGGTTTTTACTTGGGATAAGAAGAATGTTACAGTAACCACTGTTCCATGCTAACCTGCTGCTTAAGGGGTTGAATAGAGGGATTGGGAAAAATTGGATTTGCCTGCTAGCTGCATAAAAGGAGGTTCTGCAGAGATTTTTAAAGAGAACTAATTATATCTCAATCATTTTTAACACAGAACTTCACTGGAAGGTCAGTTTTCTTAATAAGAAAACCAGTGTGGTTTTTGTCAGTGGTTTTGTTCAAGAAAGTTTATGTTGTGAAGAATATTTTGTGTTCCAGAGACAATCAGTGACTGTAACAACTGTTGCTTTTGCTTTGATTGGTTTCGTTTTTTTGCTTGACTTGTCCTGATTGTAACTCCAGAATTTGCACAAAGTGCTGCAATTAGGATGTTCAGGATAGGAATTCTGTATATGCTGATACATAGTCCTGACCTGGAATCTTCAGATTTGTAAGATTTTGAAATATTACTGAGTAAGTTACTGCTGTTCCGTCCAGGGTGACACTGAAACAAAGACCATAACTTGTCTTTTCTCAAAGGTAAATCCACAGCAACCTGTAACTTCTGCACCTCTTTCTACCAGGATTTGCTGAAATAGGTATTTGGGTATCTCCTTTAACATCATTTCATGGAGTTTTACTCCTCCCTGGGCAGCAGCAGTGCTTGAGATGTGGTCCTTTGCAGGGGACTTCATAGAATCACAGACTGGATTGGGTTGGAAGGGACCTTAAAGAACATCCAGTTCCAACCCCCTGCATGGGCAGGGACACCTCCCACCAGCCCAGGTTGCTCCAAGCCCCATCCAACCTGCCCTTCAACACTGCCAGGGATGGGGCAGCCACAGCTTCCCTGGGCAGCCTGGGCCAGGGTCTCACCGCCCTCACACTAAAGAATTTCCTCCTAATGTCTCACCTAAATCTCCCCTCCTCCAGTTTTAATCCATCACCCTCTCACTACAACCCCTTATAAAAAGTTCCTCCCCAGCTTTTCCATGCCATGGTGGTCTAACTAGCATTTATCTTGGAGGAACATTTTTCCCCCTCAGAACTTTCTTTCACCCTCAGTGTTAAAACCTCTATTAATAGACATCCTTTAAACCTGCACAAACAAAGCAGCATGTGTACCAGGCTTTTTTTTTAATTTTCAGCTTTCAGCTTTTCAGCTGTCTTTGTTGTTCTTGCTCCCAATCTAGTTCTAACGCCTCCCCAGACAAGCCTGGTTGCTGTCAGATGTGCATCTAAAAAGAGTGGGGGCAGCTCCAAAAATTTAGGTGGCCGCAGCCCTGGGAAGCGCTATGGATTCAAAAAAGTAGAAGGTGGGTCTGACTGAGCCTCAGTTTGCATTTCACTGGGTTCTTCACAGCTTCTCCCCAACCTGTCCCCCTCGGTAGGGGTGTCAGGCGGTGAGCATCTCAGCAGGAGGTGGCCAGGGAGCTCTTCCAAGAGAAAGGAAATGGGGGGTTCATTAACCTCGGGATTAAGGTTCATAAACCTCAGGATTAAGGGTGGCTGGAGGTACATGGGGTTGTTGTTCCCCAAATGCAAGATGCACTTTGATTCTCCCTCTGGCTTTCAAGAGCAGCAGGGAGGAGGGAGCCCTGTGGGACACCTCCCTGCTGAAGTGCACTTACCCCCACGCCATGGTGAAAAGCTAGGCGTTTTGGATGCTTACAAAAGGGAGAATCATGTGGCTTAGCAGAAGCCTAAGTAGAGATTCTTGCAGCTGAGTGTTCATAATTATTAGCTTGGCTAAACATACTCGGTGTAAAAGGCCATAAAACCAATTCCTTCAGCAGCCAGAAAATGCCTTGTACCCCAGAAGTAATCCTGTCAAAGACCAGAATTGCTCTTTGCCATTGTGCATCAATTGCCCTTTATTTCCTGCCAGCAGTGTTTTTCTTTAGATGCTTTTAGCACTTGAAGTAGCTTTTCCTTACAAAATGCCCACAGAAGGCTGGGTTTTGGAGGTGCTGGAAGCATTTCAGTTGTGCCATGGCTCTGGGGAGCTGTTTCCCTGCAGCCTGACTCGACTCTGTGTTTCAGGGGCCTTCGTGCACGCAGGGAACATCTTGGCGACCCAGCGGTTGATTCGCTGGCATCCTGGGGCTCATGTAAGTTGCTTTTCCATCTCTTCCTTGGCTCTCAGAGAGCAGCAGCCTGAAAGAGTCCTGTTCTCAGTGCCTCCTCTCTTCCAAGCAAGTTCTTAATGCTCTTCTCTGTCTTCTGTATGGTCCTGAAATTTGGTTTCATTAGCTGGTATTTCTGATTAACAGAGCCTGCTCAGAGTCACACCTGTGCCCGTGTGACTCCAGGGAGGACTGAAACTTATAGATAACTCAAACACTTCTGTAATCCAACTGGGTTCTTGAGCTTCAAGGTGGACTCAGTATCCCCTTCCTTGTAATGAGCACCATACTGTTTGCCAGAAGCAAGTAGTGTGGTCTTCCTTTATTTTAAAAGCAACACATGTTGTTGAAGCCAGGATATCAAACAAGGCAGAGGAATGATGAGATATGCATTAGTGGTGACCCTCCAGCCTTTCCTTTCTAACACTTCTCATCCTCTTCCAGGTAGGGATGGGCCGTAACAAGACACTCTATGCCTTGGAGGATGGGATTGTGAGATACACCAAAGAGGTCTACATACCCCCACCCCGCAGCAGCGAGAGCAGGGAAGTGATCTGTCGTCTACCCAGAGGAGCAGTTCTTTATAAAACCTTTATCAGTGTTGTCCCTACCACAGAAGTAGGAAGCTTTAAACTGGTCACCATGCTCTGAGCTTCCTGCCTCACATGGGGACAGATGGGAAGGAGCAGCTGGAACAGACAGAACACTCCAGCTGGACTGGCATCGAAGGACAGGAATATACTAGCTCTGAAGATACCAGTGCAGGACTCTGTTGTCTTGCTAAAGCACTCATGGTCAGTGCTCAGGCACTGGGATCACCTACTGGTGTTTGTGAGACTGTGTAATAAATGCTGTGGGGTGCTGAAGGACTGGCCTGCTCACTGAATCTGTTACTTATTTAGTATCTGGAGCTGCCTTCCTCTGGAGGACCTGCTGTGCCACTGGATGAGTTCTCCCTACAATCACTCTTATGTCAGTACTTGTCCCACTAATAATTGCCTATTTTTAGACATGACTGTTATATTTGTATCTTAATTCAAAGTACTGCAGAAAAGGGATGGATCCTTTTCCACTTGCACCTTTTCCACTTGTACCTGCATCCCAGGAAGCCAGATTGTTCCTTCTAACTCTCTTCAATGATTAACTCTGATATCTGAAAGTGTTCCATTTACTAGCCACATCAGGCAGGTTCACACTTGTAAAGCTAACTCATGACTCATTTTAGAGTGCCTGGTAAGATTCACAAGCCTGGGGTGGTATTTGAAGCTCAGTGGCCAGGGGTGTATCATAAAGCCAGAATCCAGAGGCTTATCCTTTTGTCTTCCCAGAGTCATTCCATGACATTTTCAAGCTTATGTTGCTTGAAAGAAAGGAGCCCAAATCCCCTGTGGCAAAACTGATCTCATTTTATCTACAGGTTTGTAAACAATTTGAAACATCAGCTCTGCAGTAGAAAACAGGTCATCAAAATTGATGTGAGGACTCTGGTGTTGACATTATGAGATTGCCTGCTCTGCAGAACATGAGTAGGTGAACTTGGTCAGCCACGTGTGTCCGTCTTGATGTCCTTCATGGAGACCAGCAACTATTTTGTCTGTGCTTCTGTCCTTCCCCAGCCTGCTCGTCGCATCTTTCATCTTGGTGGTCAGTATGTGCACACATCAGGTGACAACCCCTGGAGCCCCAAGATCATGATCTGCAGCCCATACAAAACTGTCCCCTGTCACAGTTGGATCAGAGTGTCACTGAGTGCTCTGACAGCAGATTTCTTCTGCCACTTAGAGGTGAGAATTCCCACCTGGAACCTTATACACCCATAAAGTAAACACTTCATAACCTGAGAAATCAATGTCTGAGGCCTGATCCTTGGCACGCCAGGCAGCACTTGTCTCACAGAGGTAAGATGACACCAGCTGCCTGGAGCAGCTCTGGCTGAGCAAATCACCTTGGCATTGCAACCAGCTGGTACATTACCATTGGGAACAGCCCGTTTTCCAGAGAAGAGGAGCAGACATTCCAGCTGCTCCACTCGCAGCACGATAACTGGCAGTGGCTCCATGAGTGTCCCGGGGCAGCTGGAGGGACGTCACCACCAGCTGGGTCTGACCTGCCTGTGCCCCAGCTGGTTGTGAATCCAGGTGGAGATCCGAGGTCGGCCGCTCCCTGCGGATGAGCACCAAGGGCCAGGCACTTGTGTCCCTGAGCGTGGGAAGCAGCAGCACGTGGAGGCCAGGGCCTTACACAGCCGTGTTTCGCTGGGTTTGGTAGCCGAGAGGGGCCTGGAAAGGGTCTGGCACCCCACATCTGTCCAGGGTCTCTGAGCTTCTTCCTGTTCCTGAGAAAGCTGGAGGATGCCTCAGAGCATGCTCGTAGGGAGGTGGCATCTATGGAGGAGAGAGGAAGAGCATTACCACTGAGCAGAAATTAACCAGGGGATTATCCCACCTCTTCTTACAGAGCGGATGACAAAGCTCACAACCACCACCAGCCTGAAATTAAATTCCTGCAGTCCTCAGAGTCACGAGGTGAGCACCTGGAGAATCAGCTCTTAACACTGGTTTGTAACACGGCAGGACAGCAATCCACTGGAGAGGCACATTCCCTCCCTCACTCTCTGTGCCAGGCTTCTACCCTTCCCTGTCTCACTTCAAGGACTTGTCACTAGCTACAAGGCCAAAAAGACTTGACTTCTGTTAAAATAGGACTCTTATTCAGTTGTTTCCTTTGACCAGGGATCACTTATTGGGATTTATACAAACACCTTCAGGCTTTCCACTGAAGCAGCAAGTCTCACTGCACAGCAGCAGAGGAACCTCTGGGCTGTTGTTTTTTTCTGGCAGAGCTGGGCTAGCTTTGTCCCCATAACAAGCGACAGGAGTGACATAGGGAGGTCGAGGAAGAGTTCCCACTGCTGTTCCTTAACTACCCATCCCTGGGGCCTTACTGTCCTGTGCCCTCAGAGCTCTGGTTTTAGGGCAGGTATCATTATTTACAGCTTCAAACACCGAGCAGCAAGTGCTGACTATGGTAAACTATGGTGCAGCTTTAAGAGCCCAGAATCCAGGTAAATCGGTGAACCTTGAGTGCTCTACTCCAGGTTTCAAATGTTTCTGTTCTGCTTTAGTCAATGAGGTCTCTTTGTTCAACGGGAATCTCTTGGGATGCTACCACAGGACCTACTTGGCTTTTCTCTACTGTGGGAGTTCAGATCTTAAGTGTCAGAACAGGCAAAGCCCTCCTGCTTATAAGTAAGCCATAAACACTTTAAGGTACTAGCGAGTCCTCCCAGAGGTGTGCTGCAGGGAGCAAGAAACCATGGAAGCCTAACATCTAAAAATAACATTCCCAGCTTGGACTGCTGCCGAGCAGATGATCCGAAGGGCCTGCCTGCCCTGTCAGCAGCAGCTCTGCCCTGCCTCCCAGCACAGGCATTTCAGCACCGAGAGAGATGGATCATTAACCAGCACAGATGTACAGCAAAGGAGCCTCCTGGTACACTCTGTGCCGCCCTTCCCCGAGATAAAGGCTATCAGAGAACAGAGTCCTTAGCTACTGCTCGTTGCTGAAGCAAGGCCCAGATACAGACTAGAGTGGGGAAGTGCCCCCAGGCCTCTGCCAGTACCCTGGTGCAGGAGAGGGAGAGCTCACCTCCTGGGCAGGCTCTGCCCACAGCCCAAACCTCTCAGCAATCATCTGGTGGATTTCTCGCTGACGATCTTTCTTCCGCACGCTCTCGTAGCTCGGCAGGCGGGGCTGCTCCCAGGAGGGCAGCTGGTAGCTGCTGGGGGGTCCCACACAGAACAGCTCATCTCCCTGGAAATGCCCAGCCCAGAAGACAAAGGTCAGCGTGACATTGGATTTCTTTGCTAGAAAATGGCCTGGTGCCACCTCGAGCTATTTTGGGAGTCAAAGTTGTGGGTGCCCTTCACTGAACCCCAGGATAGGAACTCCTCCCTCCCAGGAGCTAATTACACCTGCTTTGCAAATCCTGAGTTACCTGCCTGGCACTTCATTCCCAAACACCTCAGGGTACTGTGGTGTCCTCTGCAGTATCCCTGCACCTCCCCTCCCATTTTAACACACCAACACCACTTCCTCAATTTGCTCCTGATGTCCAGAACCTCCTCCCTGTGACCTAAGAGCTCCCCAGGTCCCCATAACCACAGTCCCTTCCCAAAACCACCAGGATCTTTGCCAGCACTCCCCCCCCAGCTCCCATCACCTGCAGGGCAGGGTTCTCAGCCGCGCTCTCCAGCCGTGACACTCGGCGCTGGGGACCCACCAGGCGCTGGTTGCTGCTGAAGTAGGGAGGGGGGCAGTCCTGTAATGGGGGTCAGGGAGATGTGAGCAAAGCCAAAATCCCTCACATCCCACCCGGTAGTGAGTGAGCAGAGCTCAGCCAGCCCATAGAACAGCCTGGGAAGCAGGACTCTGCCTGTTTAGCTTATTCAATCCCTGCCCAGCAGCTCAGGCACATCCACACCAGGCAGTGCAGGGCTTGCCCGTGCCTAGGACAGGGTTCCATTCAGACTCAGCTGAACAATCTCTCTTCAGGTGACAACAAAACAACAACGCAACTGTTCCACTAGTGTAGATAAGAGCTCAGTCACATGCTCAGGCTTACAGAATTTGTAAATGCGTATCTATCAAAGCAGTCATTTCAGGATAACATAGCAAGCAAATGTGCAGAGCAATGGCTGTTCTGTTCCTGAGCAGTCTTGCTCCAGCTAAACTCAACAACAGTGGAGATCCCTCTCAAGGAGAGCAGCCAGAGCCAGGACTCGAGCAGCTAGAACCAGGACTCAAGGCTATTCCTCACTCTCAGAAAAACCCCATCTCTGCCAGCAGAGAACAGGCCACAGACTCCCAGAGCAAACAAGGATTCACAAGGGGAACCACGAATGACAGATTTACTTTGCTGTTTGCCTCAGCCCTACAGTGCAATTCCAGAAGCTACAGGAAACTGGGCTGGCTGGGGGTGCAGCTCTTTGTTTTAGCAAAACCAGCACAACTATACCTGATTGAAAGCTGCCTCACACCACTACAACCACTTCCCTTTTTCTGATGGAAATACATCCTATCGATGTTCCCTTTCCATATATAGTTCTTCATATTCACATCCATCTGTCCACACAGCCCTTTGCTAAAGGCAAGAAGATACTGTTTCCTTGAACCACCCACCCAAAAGCCAGGCCCAACCACAGACTGCAGCTCACAGCACATCCTGCACAGCCCCCAGGAGCAGCTCTTCAGGGTGAGGAGAGCAGTGTGTCCAAGCCCTCTTCCTCACCCATGCCAGGGACAAGGAGAGGCAGCAGAGCAGGCAGGGACACCATCAGCACAGCTCATTCCTCCTGTGATTTCTGCAAGGGACTTCCCAGCCCGTGCTGGACTATTAAATATGCCTTTGATTGCACAAATCTCTCAACCCCCAGCTTGCTGAGGCTGGATGCCCCCTCTTCTCCCAGGGACTCTGCAGCAGTACTCACAGCCCTCCCTGCAGCCTTTGGAATCCGAGCTTTCCCCAGGCAGCCACCACCACAAAGGCAGCCCTGGCTGGCTCTTTTTCCATCGCACTGCTCTTTTTCCATCGCAGCCTTCCCTACTTGAAAGCCAGCCGCAGGAAATTACAGAGGCAAGTGAAAGGGCTT